ACCCTAAAATACCCAACCTAGTATTAAACTAGAGCAGGGGTTCTCAACCAGAGGTCCTGGGGGACTGTGAGCAGGTTTCAGGGGACCGCCAAGCAGGGCTGGCATTAGACATTCTCGGGCCCAGGGCAGAAAGCCAAAGCCTCGCCACAAGGGACTGCAGCCCGGTGCCCTGAGCCCCACCACCCAGGGCTGAGGCCGAAGCCTGTGGGGCCCCCTGTGGCGCGGGGCCCCGGGCAATTGCCCTGCTTGCTACCCCCTAACGCCAGCCCTGGCTCTTATATGCAGAAAACCAGTTGTTGTGGCACAGCTGGGCCAGGGAGTTTTTATTGGGGGGGGGGGGCTCAAAGAAAAACTAGAACTAGAGAACGCTGCCCACGCACCTGAGAATGGTACAAAGTGCCCAGGTGCCAGTCCAGCGTTTAAGGGGTTTTTTTAAAGGCACTCTTTGGTTTTTTCGGTGGTTGTTGTTTAATTGTTTCTTGGTAGCCCCAGTGATGGATTTACCAAAAATAAAACGACTCCAGCCCTTTCCAGGGCTGCAGCACCAGCAACCCCAGCAGCCCCGGGCACTCTGCAAACACCCATTGTTGTTACTGCCCAGCCCCGCTGTGTTATTGTAGGGTCTCCGTGGCACTGGATGCCTGCTATTGAGATTCCCCCCTCTCCTCTTCCTATAGGGTGTAAAATCTCGAGGACGTTTGTGAGGGGAGGAGGGGGAAATAACCTCATCCCCAAGGTCAGGTTTATGTATGTTTTTTTGCTCTGGTTAGGCTAACGAGCGAGACGGAGCCCATCTGGGTAAGCGAGAGCAGCAGCAGCCGCCGCGGTGGATGGGACGCGCTCGTGGCTTGTGGGGGTTTGGAAACGTGACAGCTCAAGGGCTCGGCTGGGGTTTGAAGCCGTAGCCACAGAGACCCAAAATGACGGGCTGGCCTGGCCAGGAACATTGGGAGTTTGATTTATTCCACTTGAGCCGCTCTAAGCCAAACCAAAGGGCTGGTATCTCTCCCTCCATCCTCTTCCTCTGATGCCCTCCCGGTGCACTGGGCTACAGTCATGGGCACAGGAGATAGGGGGCGCTGTTAGGATATAGATATTCAGGTCTGTAAGGCCTATACTCTAAGAATTTAGGTGTATTCTTATCATTTGGCTAGTTATAGAGGTACAAAAGAAAGAATCAAAATCACTGTCTGCCGGTGTAAGGGCCTTCTCTTACTGTGACAATCTGGGGCCCTGTTCTTAGGTTAAGGCCTTTGGCTAAGCAGCAGAGGCAGCCATAAGCTAGGAAGCGAACGGTCACCTCCTCCCATTCCAAACTAGTCACATTGACATAAGGTGCTATTGGGCTGTTAGGCACTATCAGGACAGGATTGTATTCCTATCACCTCCAGAGAAAGGGAAGTGCCTAGAAAATGTAAAAGGAAACTTAGTTTGATAGCATCCTGTCCGGCAAGAACTCACTTATCAATAGCTGGGATGTGAAATCCTCACTTCTGTATTGTTTTGTCATTATAGTTCCCACTTTGCTATTGTTTGTCTGTATAATCTCTGTCTGGTTCTGTGATTGTTCTTGTCTGCTGTATAATTAATTTTGCTGGGTGTAAACCAATTAAAGTGGTGGGATATAATTGGTTACATAATCATGTTACAATATGTTAGGATTGGTTAGTTAAATTTCAGGAAAATGGTTGGTTAAGGTATAGCAAAGCAGAACTCAAGTTTTACTATATAGTCTGCAGTCAATCAGGAAGTGAGGGGGTGGGTGTGTGTGGGGAAAATGGGAACAGGGAATGTGGGTAAGAAAATTGGAATCATGTTTGGCTAAGGGCAGGAATGGGAACAAGGACACAGGTGTAAGGCTCTGTGGTGTCAGAGCTGGGAAGGAGGATACTAAGGAAGGAAACTGGAATCATGCTTGCTGAAAGTTCACCCCAATAAACATCAAATTGTTTGCGCCTTTGGACTTCGGGTATTGTTGCTCTCTGTTCATGCGAGAAGGACCAGGGAAGTAAGTGGGTGAACTCGGCAGAGTGCAATAAAGGGGGTCCTGGCCCCTGCCCGTTGGCTCCTGACGGGAGCTGGGTGGCGTAAGCAGGGAGGCCCCTTCCCTGCTGGCATGAGGGAGGGGCGGCTGGGCCACTTTTGCAGTCTGTCCGGCACCCACGGCCGCAGGGGCAGCACAGACTGGAGCCTAAGAAGGATGAATTCAAACTGGAACAGGTACAGAAAAGGGCTACTAGGATGATCCGAGGAATGGAAAACTTGTCTTATGAAAGGAGACTCAAGGAGCTTGGCTTGTTTAGCCTAACCAAAAGAAGGTTGAGGGGAGAGATGATCACTCTCTATAAATATATCAGAGGGTTAAATACCAGAGAGGGAGAGGAATTATTTCAGCTCAGTACCAATGTGGACACAAGAACAAATGGATATAAACTGGTCATTGGGAAATTTAGACTTGAAATTAGACGAAGGTTTCTAACCATCAGAGGAGTGAAGTTTTGGAACTGCCTTCCAAGGGAAGCAGCGGGGGCAAAAGATCTATCTGGCTTTAAGATTAAACTCAATAAGTTTATGGAGGAGATGGTATGATGGGATAACATGGTTTTGGTAATTAATCGATCTTTAAATATTCATGGTAAATAGGCCTAATGGCCTGTGATGGGATGTTAGATGGGGTGGGATCTGAGTTACCCAGAAAAGAATTTTCTGTAGTATCTGGCTGGTGAATCTTGCCCACGTGCTCAGAGTTTAGCTGATCGCCATATTTGGGGTCGGAAAGGAATTTTCTTCCAGGGCAGATTGGCAGAGGCCCTGGAGGTTTTTCGCCTTCCTCTGTACCATGGGGCATGGGACACACCGTCCCATGGGTGACACCAGCTCCGTTCTCTACATGCTCTGTTTGGCTCCAGAGCGATCATCTGGCACAGAGGGGGGACCCCAGGAGAGAGACACAGCTCGGGGCTTTGCCGCACTAGGGTGGCTCCTGGCAGCTGGAGAAGAGATGTGGGGAGATGCTGTGTCAGACACCACCAGCTTAGTGACTCCCAGGCGCTCCGGCCCCCTCTCCATGGCCAGCTCCTAGCATCACCTGCCCCGTCAGCCAACCTGAGGAGATTCCTCCCCTTCTCCCCCCAGCGCCCGACCTCCCCACGCAGCATCCAACGGAGCAAGCAGACGGTGGCCGAGACCCTGTTTCGTACCCAGCTCTTCTGTGCCAGCCTCCTCTCCCCCTATGCAAGGATGGAGGCTGTCAGGCCCCAGGACCTTCTCCATCAACACCCTTCCATGGAGCAGGGCAACTGGGCCTTATGCGGGCCTGTGCGCCGCGATTCGGAACAGATGCTGTGCACGGCGCTTCCGAGAAGCAGGGGAAACAACTGGGGAGGAGAAGCCCAAGCAGCAGACGAGGAACCCAGAGAAGCCAGAAGGAGCAGCAAGCATCCGTGCACCAGAGGCAGGAGAAGGAGCAGGACGGGGGTCATTGGGAGGCCAGCGGACTAGACTCTTCCTGCACGTCACCCCAAATTTACGTGCTGCATCCACTGCATATTTGCAGCCCGATGGGTCACGGGCGCACGGACTGACGGGCACCCAGGATACAAGAATCTGCCCCATGCACCCGGCCTGCGGCTGCACCCTGCCCACATGCCCGCGGGCGGTGCAATGTATGTGCCCCCGAAGGAAAGCCAGCACCAGAACACCAGCAGCGCTCTCCCCCCGTGCCCCGGAGGCAGCCACAAACCCAGACCAGAGAATCTCAGGGTTGGAAGGGACCACAGGAGGTATCTAGTCCAACCCCCTGCTCAAAGCAGGACCAACACCAACTACATCATCCCAGCCAGGGCTTTATCAAGCCTGACCTTAAAAATCACTCAGGAAGGAGATTCCACCACCTCCCTAGGTAACGCATTCCAGTGGTTCACCACCCTCCTAGGGAAAAAGTTTTTCCTAATATCCAACCTAAACCTCCCCCACTGCAACTTGAGACCATTGCTCCTTGTTCTGTCATCTGCCACCACTGAGAACTGTCTAGATCCATCCTCATTGGAATCCCCTTTCAGGTAGTTGAAAGCAGCTATCAAATCCCCCCTCATTCTTCTCTTCTGCAGACTAAACAATCCCAGTTCCCTCAGCCTCTCCTCGTAAGTCATGTGCTCCAGCCCCCTGATCATTTTCGTTGCCCTCCACTGGACTCTCTCCAATTTGTCCACACCCCTTCTGTAGTGTGGGGCCCCAATCTGGACACAATACTTCAGATGAGGCCTCCCCAGCGCCGAATAGATCAGCCAGGCAAGCTCACAGCAGCCCCAGGCTCGAGACCAAGCCATCACCAACCAGCAGCTGATGCCAAGATCAGGGGCCGAGAATCGGCATCTCCACCAGCTCCAACCAGTGACCACCCGAGCAGGCCGGACGGCGCCGGGACAAGAACTCCGCTCTAGCGGCCGTGAAGGGGGCACGTCTCCCAAGCACGCCGGGGAGCTAAGGCAAACCAGTTGGAAATGTGTGTGCTTTAAACGCCCAGAGTGAAATCAACAGCAAAAATCCCACTGACCTCCCCAGGGCCAGGATCTCACCGTGCTTTTAGGGGCCGGGGAGCAGGAAAGATCGTTCACCTGCAAAGCAGCAGCCACCTCTGCACAAGGCTCGCTGGGTGCCCAGCGGCAGCTCAGAAAGGAACCACTGTTTGCCGTACATACAAAGGAAAAGCCCCTGGCGCTGGGAACAGGAGGGATGAGCTTCACCTTCCCCCCTGCGGCAGGGAGCAGCAGCCCAGGACCCCAGCAACGTTTTGTAACCGGACACTGCAGCCCTGGCAGGACCCCGGAGCGTGTCACCTTGATCGACAATCAGGACCCAAGTGCAGAAACGAAGCCAAGGAGAGTGGAGAGAGGCTCCCCCCTTCCAGAGTCAGAGCGACTCCAACCCGCCCGGGACCCACGACACAAGGAAACTTTGCTGCACCCCTTCGGAAAGGACGAGGGGGGGCAGCTCCTTACCTTGGCTTCGCATTTCCTGTGACAGGACAGCTTGCACCCTGCGAGAGAGAGAGAAAGAAACCAGGACTCAGTCGGGAGCTCACCTCCCCGGCTCCAAGTGCAGGGAACTGGGCCGGCTTACCCAGGACAGAAACACCAACCCGAACAAACTCTCCAGGCTGCTGCGGGAAACACAGGCGCAGGCCGGGGCGGAGGGCGGGGGGAGGAAAGCGAAGCGCCTGGCCCCTAGCCAACGATCGCCTCGGCGGCACAGGTACGCTGGAGCATGCCAGCCCACAGCAACAGCCCGGCTCCTTGGGAGGAGACGGAGCCCATTGTGCCTAGCTGCCTGTCGCACTGTCAGAGCCTGCCCCGGGGCTCAGGGTTCGCCTGCCTACCCCTTTTTCTCCCCCTTCCTCTTTCTCTCCTGACTGCACAGCACGCAGGGAGCAGGCCTGGCCCGCCCTCTCGCTCCAGGAGTCATGTTCCTAAGCAGTTCGCTCCAGCAGGAATGTGCGGCCCGGTCCCCTCCTGCCTGTCCTGGCCGGCTGCTCAGCCATCGGCGCTGGGGAGCTGCCTCCCTGCCCCAGGACAGGAAACAAAAAAGAGGAGTTTTCGCGGCCCCCCTGTCTGAGGCCTCTGCGGAGCCCCTCGCCGCAGACCCTGCTGGGCAGGGCAGAGCCCGGGCTTGAGCAGAAGGGGGCCCCCCTCGGAGAGATTTGGGCTGTGGGTGTAGAGCGAAAGCCGGGGTGCGCATGGGGTGCCCATTCGCCATGTGCCGGGCATCCATGACGCCAGACCCGCCTGGCACTTCAGCACCGCCGGTGCTCTTAGATGGGCCCGGCATGGACGAGCAGGAGGGCTGGGGTCAGGGATTCCCCTTGGGCCCAGGCTGCTGAGCGGGGCACAGGTTCCGGTTCCAGGGGGGCCGGGGCTGGGCTAGCAGGGAGGAGATGGAGGGGAAGCGGCAGAGCTGGGGTACGGGGCGGAAGGAGCGCTGGGGTGGAAAAGCAGGGGGACAGGACCCTCCACCTTCTTGACAAAGGTCATGAGCCAGAAAACGTCACTCCTCTTGGTGCCAGGAGCCCTGGCCTGCCCTGCCAACCCACCAGCCGGGCACGGGGAGCCTGGCCATACCACAACATGGCAGTGCCCTGTGACGGGTTGGAGCGAAACGGTGCGAGGTCACTGTGGTACCGGACGATGCCACGGCTGGAGAACGCACCATTGCATGCGACATCCCAGACCTCCCGAGGCTTGCACCAGACAAGTGACAGCCATGGCTCTGGCTGCTGCTGGCCACCTCCAGCAATGCGATGGGCGAAACGGGCCAATTTCTCTGAGGGCAGCCCTCCCGGGCGCTCGGCTCTCCAGCTGCTCACTGAGGAGAACCCAGAGATAGGGACGCAACATGTATCTTCCTTGGGGCCCTGACGGATGGCTTCCTCCAGGGACGCCACCATCCAGTCCTGCTTGGGGAGCGCTGGAGACAGGCCAGGTGGTGCAGCCTGCGGCCCCCAGCCCTGCCGGCATCCTGAGTCACCCCACACAGCCCCTGATGTCCAAGCTGCAGGGTGTGTCTTAGGCCACCCGGGCCATGGCTCAGACCAGGGCTAGCGTCTCCCGCGGCCCCGGGCCAAGCCTGGCACTCCACTAGCATTGCCAGGTATCCAGCTTACATCCAGCCCCTACTTTACCTGCCCTCCCCCACGCCCACTCCTGCCAGCGGCCAGCCTGCAGCTCACCCCTCATTCTGCACACGATGGGCCCCAGCTGTCCCCGGAGGCGCAATCCCTGTACGATGGGATCCTGAGGCCAGGCAAGGCAGTGCCTGGGGCCCGGCAGGTGAGCTCTTCAGAGCAGGGTGGACACAGCCACACTTCTGCGGTGCTCATCCATCGCTCCCTCGCCCCTCTCTCGTGACCTCCAGCCACCCTGGAGTCCTGCAGGCCAGCCCCCGGTTCCCCTCGCCCGGTCACACCTTCCTTCTCTTCTCCCACTGAAGGGCCAGAGACCGAGACGCTCCACTCCCTGTTTAGATGATCACAGGCTGGGAAGGGCACGTCTCTCTGCTCCTCAGCCCGCCCATCGCACCCAGGACCCGTACAAGCACTGCCCAACACTATATCAGAGAAGCCCTGGATACTTCGATGGTCTCCAACTGCCCATCACCATAGTATCTGGGCGGGGATCCTCCCCATAGATGTGCAGGCAGCATGGCTAGAACTCAGGAGACCTGGGGTCGAGTCCCAGCTCTGTGTGACTGTAGGCAAGTCACTTTCCCCGCTCCGTGCCTCAGTTTTCCCATTTTACAGGTGGAAATGACACTGAGCTCCTTTGAGCGCTAAGGATGAAAAGCACTAAATACATCATATAATATTATATCAGCTAAAACAGCTAAAAAACACCAGGTCTCTGCATAGCTGCACGGTTGATTTAACATGCCACAAATGGTGCAACCTGCAAACAGAAGCCCCCAATGCAAAGCTGCAAATTCGATATTTGACACAATTTCAAGACTCAGCATCAAGAATGAGAGTCGCCTTCCCAGGCTTCCCTTCTCCAGCCTGATTCAAAACTGAGAGAACATTTGAAAATCCCAGATCTCTTTTTTCCAGCCCGCAGGCTGTGTAATTTACCTTCCCCTTTTTGTGTGTGCAGCTCACTCAGCTAGGGAGCGTGAAACCAGCCAGGTCAGTTTCCTGCCATTCCTCTCTCTAAGACAGGGCTGCAGTGTTTGCATTACAGAACCACCAAGGGACTCCTGCAGGGTCGCTCTGACCTGCAAGGCAGTTGTCTAAGAACGGGATTGGTGAACTCCAGAGACCTGCTCCCAGGCAGATCTGCATGGGGGCGCAGTCCTATTAAAAGCAAGCACGTGTTTCCAGGATCGGGGCCTACAATACACTGGTTTATTCTCAGGTGGTGACATCTTGGCCCAGCTGATGTCAACAGCAAGAAGCCAGGCCAGCCATGGTCCCTGCAGGGCCGGCGCAGCTCCCTGGCATCACCACACTAGAGTCTGACCGCAGAGTCCAGGAACATGCTACCGGTCAACAGGCAGGAAAACCCCTCACATCATGTGAGCGGGAGTCACTAAGCACACCTGGGCCCTGCCCCGCTGTGCCGCTTCAAGGCAGATCGGCACTTTCAGTCCAAAACGCACCCGATTTGCTGCAGTCCGTCCAGCAAAGCGATCCCTGGGAACCCTTCTGTCCCCATTAGGGATCGAACATCCCTCTAACACATTCTGTCCCTCTCCCACTTTCCCTCCCTCACACCCAGACCCCAGGCACCGGGGCCCTCGGCACAGAGCAGAGGTGCTGCCCCGGGACCAGGACAGGTCCCAGGCGGACTGAAGCGAACGGCTGGGGCAGGGCAGGGGATATTTTAAAGGGCTTCCCTCCCTCCGCTGCCCCCTCCAGCTCCTCCCTGGGGAATACAGTTGAGTGGGATTGCATGGGGCATTCTTCCCTTGCTACACAGCCGTGTCTCACTGCCAGGCACAGGCCCTGGCTCTCTGCAGCTGGCCACATCTAGAGGGACGAAGGGTGAGGCACAGGAGAGGGATCCAGGACTCCTGGGTTCTCTTCCCAGCTCTGACTCTGATTTCCTCTGCAGCCTTGGGCACGTCACTTAACTGTTCTGTGCCTCCGTTTCCCCAGCTGTAAAACGGCAGCAGGGCTGTGTCGGAAGCACCTAGAGCTCCTCTCACAAGTCCATTCTCACAGGCTCGTGGCCCAACCCAACCAGGTATCGCTGGGCCGTCTCCCTCAGCACCCCACGCTCAGTCTGGCAGACCACTGATCTGCACGTTCAACGGGCACAAAGCAGGGCTGGACCCATGGCCGTTGAGCTGCCTGGACACAGCTCAGCTCCCAGGCATGTGGAGTTCCCTACATCACTGGCACACATGCCTGGCTTGCCCTGTCCCCCAAACATGCCCCGGCTGCGTGTGCGTGGGCACACGCCTCTCACAAGCGCCGCGGGCCCATCATCTCGCACCCACGGCCGGGCCTGTGGCATGTACACACAGGTGCCATGTGCAAACACACTAAGTCCTCCCCCACCGACACCCTCCTGGCTCCTGCTGCCTAACTTTCAACGGGACTCGGAGAAGGAAGCCCCATAGACCTCAGGCCCGGGGGAACTGGTTCTCTGGGGCAGGCGAAGCAGGGAGGAGAGGCTGGAGTAACAGCCCGGACAGCTGGCCTGGGGCTGGCCCAGTGCAGAGCTGCGAGGTTGAGGGACTGATCCTGCACGGACCTCAGAAGGGGCAGGATCAGGCCCCTGGAGAAAGCCCTACGGCGCATTTCCCCAGGGGGCTGTGTCAGATCCCAGCTCTCTACCCCACGGGGGCATGGGGCTGGCATACGGTGGCGATCCCACCGGACGGCATTCGAGAATCGCCACATGGCTGAGCTGAGACAGGCTGCCCACGGCTGGGCACAGACAAAGCCGATCATCAGCTGCTGCCCTGTGCACTCCCAGGAGACCCACCAGCTGGGTAAAATACCCACACAACGGGCCAGGTCTCAGCTGGCATGAGCCAGGAGAGCACCAGCAAACCCAGCGCTGGGGGGCTGGCCCACGGCATTCCTGCTGCAGTGGGACCTCCATAACCCCGGCTTTCAGCCCTGTCCTAAACTGGCTGGCACTCACATTTCTGAACCCTGCTGTGGATGCCAACACGGCGTAGGCACTGCCCGCCAGCTCTTGGCAAGTCCCAGCAAAGCCCCCGGGCCAGGTAGAGTTCCCCGCCCCCTGCCCCCAAGGGTTTACACTGCAGTTTGCAGCCCTGCCAGAAACAGCATCTGTTCCTTTGATACAACACAGTCATTGTTCCTGGCGGGGAGAGGCGGGGGGGCCTGGCCTGGCCTGTGCTGGACAGGATTCGTTACCTTGGGTTTTCTAACCCAGGGAGACCGGCTGAACTAGGCACGAGTGCAAGACTCAGGACTCCTGGGTGCTCAGCCCCACTCTGGAACTACCCGCCGGGCACAGTAACACAGTCCACCGCTGCCTCAGTTTCCCCATCTGGGGATGAGAACATTCCCTA